TTTTTTTTTTTAAGATTTTGTTTGCCATAGGGCACATGCACTTGCTGGAGAGAGTAAGATAGAGAGGGAAAGTGATAAATCATCCCCCAGGGGGATGGCTACACCACAATCCTTTCTCCTCTCAGGACTCAGAACACGTGTGCACATGCACCCAGCATGATCCTCAAGCTGCCAGGTCCAGGACTCAAACTGTGGTCATGTAGGAGTTGAGCAATCCAACCACCACACCATCAGTTGGCTGTCCCCCCACCCCCAGACTTCTTTAAATAAGAAACATGCTGACTTATTTAAGAATATAAATTAATTTTCTCTCTCTTTCTTTTGAAAACTTAAACATATCAATTGCTCAATAAATATAAAGTTGTCCCTAGCTATCCAAGCAGGACTAGTTCTAGGACTCCCTGCAGATATCAAAATCCACAGTGCTGGGACCAGCAGTTAGGGTAATGACTATGTTGCTGGACCGCCATGTAGTTGACCACAGTTTGCATCCTGGACCCGGTGGTCTAAAACTCACGCCCGGTGTGTGTGCGTGCGTGCCCAAGATCCTGAGAGGAGAATGGAGGAGAAGGGATTGTGGCGTGGCCATCCCCCTTGGGGCGTGATTTCTTGCTTTCTGTCTCTCTGTCTCTCTCTGTCTGTCTGGTGAGCGTACGTGCGCTATGGCAAAAACCTCTCCAAAAAAAAAAAAAAAAATCCACAGTGCTCAAGTCCCTTATAAAAAATAAGTATTGTATTTGCACATAACCTATGCACATACCTTAATCATCTCTAGATTAGTTACAGTATCTAATTCAATGTAAATACTATGTAAATAGTTGTTGTAATGTATTGTTTTGGGAATAACAACAAGGAAAATGTCTGCATGTTTGGGACACATGCGATCAATTTTTTTTCCTCAAATATCTTTTTTCTGTAGTTGGTTGAATCTGTAGATAGGAAGCAAAGGCTACAGAGGACCAACTGTATCTGAAGAAGAGCCCTGGCCCACAGCCCTCCTGTGCTTACTAGCAGGTCTATCTGCCCATTGACCAAGAACTCTTCCCTTTGGTGTTGGGCCTATTTGCCACTGACCACTATCCAATGTCTCTTATTCATCCTACTCAGCTTTTAAGAGAGGAGGCTTAGTGATCCAATTAGAGTTGTAGAGTTGCTGACTGAGCTAAGAAGTCCGGTCGAAGCTTTCTTTTTGTCTCCTTCACTTGCCCTTCATCTTTCTTTCACTACATTTGCCCTTACTACTGCCTAGAAAAAGACTCAACAACTGTACTTTGTACAGGAACTTTTTTGCAGAATAAAGCCCTTCTCATTGACCATTGGATTTAGGGGGGCCTGTTTGTGTACAGAGCTACTGACCCCATGATGAGGAATTGATTCCCAAGAACTGCACCTAAAATATAATTTGCTATTGATTATCTTCCTGCATAGAAAAGAGCCAAAAGATATCAAAATCTTATGACCAAGAGAAGTTGATAATCTTTGCTCTGAGTCATTACTTTCTTCCATCCTGCTTAGAGATTCTGTAAATCACCAAAAAATAAGCAGAGTAAAAACAAAATGAGGCAGAGAAGTTAACCATAAAATGGCCATTCAGCTCAGTATATACCTGACATGTCTGTCTTCTCCACATCTCTATGACTTGAGTAAGATACCTGACCAAAAATCTTTCTTCAGGCTAAAATTATATACCTGTTGGTAAGCCAGATGGTGAAAACAAAAGGGAAAATAACTGGATCTATTTGAGTTACAAATGTTCAGAAAAGGGCTCCTGTAACTCAATATAAAGAATACAACTTTATTATGTAACATCTTTTCTTTTACTCTATATCTAAAAAAGCCTTTCAGAGCAATTTGTGATTTGGACAATGTAAGAGTTTCATGCAGAGGAGAAGCTAAAACTCTTTAAGGGAAATTTGAAACAAGTTAGAAATGTAGTGAGTCATAAACATAGTCTTGTTGAAGAGTGTCTAAGTAAGAGGTCCTATCAACCTGGAGACTTCCTATATTGGAATTCACTTTGACTGTCTAGTTGGTTTCTCATTCTCTGCTATGGCTAAATGATCTTCTTCCTTCCAGAACATGCTATTCTTGTTTGAACTGTCCTCTGGTATCCCAGTTCAGAGCATTCAGACTCCCTGAAACTATTGAACCAACCCCTACTTACCTCCTCAGGGAATAGAAAGCCAAGTCATCTTCTACAATTGAGAGGATGAAAACTGGGAGTAAGAATAGGGCACAGGGCTTACAGAGAGTGGGAAATGGTTAAAGCATCTTTAAGTGCCTTAAATAGAATTCAAGTGCCAAGAAATTGGCATTTGTAATTTGTAAGGATGGTACCATGATGGGTTTTCCCAGATACCACTAAGCAGCAGGACCTAAGGAAGTGAATGGTCAGATTTTTCCAGAGCTGGGGATTGTCAGTGTGCTTATAGGCAGTGGAAGGACAGCCCAGGAGGCAGGGGAAGGTACTGGGAAGAGCACTATTGAAATGACTACCTATAGAGAACATAATGGTCGCAAAGAAGGGAAAGCTAGAAAGTGTTGGTGGTCTAAAAGGCCCAACAGTAAGGGAATAGAGATATTGAAGGATCATAGGACTAGATGTGTAAGAGAAATGGAGAAATGGCTAAAAACGGAAATTCTAAACTTAAGGCAGTGGGGAGTGGGAGGAATTCAGGGTATGACCATAGCAGCTGGTGGACAAAGCAGAAGGGAAAACAGGGGTAAGGGAGACGTTATGGCCTAGGCTGTTGGATGACCAGTCCTCATAGACTTTTAGGTCAGTTAGCCTAATAGGAAACAGATTTTTCCCCAAAACATGGAGGTGGTGAATAGCAGTACTATAATTAGAGTTTAGGCTTGGGGGCTACCATCTTCTTGTGTTCTCCATTAACAAGTACTGCCCATTTCCTCTGCTAACCAGTGTTCTAACAGCTCATAAAGAAGAAAACTTTGAAAACCATCACCTCAAAGTTCTTACCCTAGGTGTCTGGATGGCAGCCCCCAGCCCCCGCCCCTACTCAAGAAAACTTTGAAATCTGTCTCTCTCTGGGGTTGAGCATCCTGGATCCCAATTAGGTTCTTTATTCTGGAACAAGACCCTACACTACTGATCTAAAGGTTAGCATGGGTAAAAATATAGATATGGGCAAAAATAAAAGTAAGGTGAGGTCCTTGGTTCTTTTATTCTGGTCTAGATCTTGGCTCCTCCATAACTCTGTCTCTGAACTAGAGATATCATAAGTGCCAGTCCTCAGGTAGTTCATCTCTTCTATCTTTACCTTTCAGTTCTTTCTGTCTAGGGAGAGGGTGCTGGTAAGAGAAGAGTTATTACTTACTGAACCCAAACTAATTTTCTTATGTAATTTATTTATTGTTCTTTCCTGGCCCCCAAATGTTACTCCTTGAAAGTGTGCTTTGTGTTTCCTTGCCATGTCATCCCAAGAAACCTGGAATAAGAAACTTAGCATCTAATTCAGTTCCAAATTAGAACTTCTGGTATCTAATCATGGCGCTAGTTTTTGATGCATATTCAAAAGTCAATATCGTTATCAAAAATAGAAAAATCAGAATGCTATTTCTTTTTAAAATGAAAATTTCCTGAATTATCTCCTAAAAATACCTAAAAGTGAGAAGGAAGGAAAACTGTGATCTTTGGTTAATCATTTTACTACCTCTGTGGGCATTAGTATGCTCATCTATTGAAATATCTGAGATTTCTTCCAGCTCTAAACATTGATATGAATATACTTAAATAGCTAAATAGCTCTTATGGAAAAAAGAGAAACAAATTTGCTCACAGAGAAATAGAAAAAATGTGGCTTGGCTTGACTTTTTCCTTAGAGACACTGATAGAAATCCTGCAACTGTGTTGTTCCTATTCATCTTGTCATTTTTTTTCATTGCATCTCACATCTCAGCAGAGAGCTTATCTTCACGCTATTTCCAAAATCTTCCACATTATCCTTACGGTGTCTTTTTAACTCTATTCACTGTATTGAAGTTTGGAATATAGTTTCCTTGAAAGATAACACCCAAAGCCAAATTCTTATAAGATTGTCACATTGGTTTGAAGAGTAGGAGTGAGTTGACAATAAAGATAAGACCCTCCCTTCACATTAGGACCAAAGAAATCTTAAATCTTTAAGAAGCCCAATTATTAACTGCATACTTCGCTGACAATGCTAAAATAGATACATTATACTTTACAGTAAAGAAAAATCACCTCTAGCGAAACACAGGGATACGATTTTCATTTAATCATCATTTATACAAGAACTCAGAGTCCCAGCATAACTTATGCCTTATCGCTTCAAACATTACGTCATTTATTCCCAGCTCGGTTAAATTCCCTTGTGTTGAATGTCTTCCTTTACTGAAATTGATTTTTGTTAATACCAGGCATAATGCGTTCTTCATCTTTTAAAGGAAACCAATGGACTCTTGCCATGACAGGAGATAACTGGAAATCTATGTACTCCGGACACCAATTCCCCATCAATACACTAAAATGTCTTTTCTTTTAAAAATAACAGCCCTGCATGAATTTGATCACTTTCCCAAATTAGTGTAATTGATGTATCCTGAAGCCTTAATGATTCAAAAAGTGCATACTCGAGGGATATTTAAATAGCTATTTCGTAGGGAGATAAAATATGGGCCAATCCACTGAATATGTGTTCCCTGAGTTTAGGAAATGCATAGAGTTTGGCTGTTGGCTGGCCAATGTGTCAGGAAGGTTGTCCTTAAATAATATGGAGGGAAAATGGCTTCATAAAAGCACAATATTCTTCTCTTTGGGGCCTTCAGTTAAAGAGGCAAAAGACTGCATTTGAAGATATGACAATTAGCGTACTAGGAAATAGCCTACTCATTGTTTTCAAAACTGAGATGAACCTCAGTGTTCTAGTCTGAAAAACTGAGTTGATAATAATAATTTTTACTTCCTGAGATTATGTGCTGATATTGAATCTAAAGGAAGTGTCCAAGCATACCTGAGCCTGGAAAGTAACTCTGAGAGTCCCTCAAACTTCTTCCTGCAGCAAAGCTTCAGTTCCTCTCATGTAGCAGTGCTGCTGATGCAGGCTATTCTGTGAATGTGAAATAAATGAACACATGGATGAATATATTTCTCCACCAACACCCTGTAAGCTTCTTCTGCTAACACATTAGTCAGGACAAATTGACTGTGTAACTTCTAGCTAAAAAATAGCAAATATACCTCCACTTATCACTTCTAAGCCCTTGGCAGACATAAATAATCAATCTCAGCATTTTCCCAAATATGGCCTTCAAAATATTTCTTAAGACAATGTTCTAGGCAGCTACTACCAATTGTTCAGAGTTGACATCACAGATAAAACCCATTTGAAACCCTTCAGGGTACCCAAATCATTGTTAGAGCATACAGGCTCCCCCTGAACTTAAGCTTGGATTATTGATGAATAACATCTGCCATCCTGGATTGTCTGGACTGTTCTCAGCACAACCCTTCCCAGAAGGTGAGGAAACCAAAATGTGTTTAAGGATAGACCATGCTTTATGCCGAAGGGCCTGCAGAGAGATTTACTTGAAATGCCTCTGCCTGGCAGCTCTTAGACTTTACCCACCATAATTTGCTTCTCAAGTAAAGCAGCCCGTTGTCTCCTACCTGCAGTCTCTAGCTTTCTTGGTCAGAAATACCTCCAGAAGCTCATGCTAAGGCTTAATCAAAAATCCACACTTACTCATCTCTGTGTGCCTATTACCCTTTGTCTCCTTCTTTGATTTCCTTGGCTCTAATCCTTCCTGGGTTCTTTGTCTTTGCTATTCAGACTCTTTCCTGAATGCCCAAGCACTCCCCCGTCACCACCTGCTTGTGGTGACCCCACACTGGTGACCCCTGGCAAATGCCCCATTGTGCCAGGTATTCTTCAAGATTGCCAGCCTCTGCTGGGGAAATATTCAACACTTATTGCCTGCCTTATTTTTTTTTTCAACTTCTTTAAATCCATTACTTAATTTAATTTTCAAAACAAAGCCAGGAAGTTGATAGAGTGTCTTTATAGTCTGTATGGGGGAAGGAGAGCACTGGGGATTCAGAGCCATTAAATAACATGCTCCAGGTCGCAGAGCTAATAAATGGCAGAGCTGAGATTCAAGATCTGACTCCAGAATCTGGACACTGAACATTTAACACATGGCCTCTTGAACTGATGCATGCGGTGTTGGCTTTCAGGAGTCTACACAGTGTAGGGTAGTTACTTTTTTTTACTCTGCTCTCTCTAACACCTCCAGCCTCAGCTCTACTCTCTTCAATATGGCTCTCAGGATCATGTGATTCATGTGAGGAGGAGAAACAGCAGCCTTCTCTGGGTACAAGAAACCCGTTGCAGTGATTTGCAGCATGGGGCCTGATAATTAACTAAATAGGATTCCTCTCAATGAGACACTCTCTCTTGTTTTTATTGCCATGTTAAAATGTGAATCTTAAGCAAAACAAGAATATAAATCTTATTGGGGGATGTTGAAGTTTAAAACAATATATACTCAGCTCAGTTCTCAACAGAGAGAAGCCTATTTTGAAGACCATAAACCTTTTTCTGCATGCCCAGGATAGGGGTTGCTGAGAGTAGGAGTGGGTTATGACCACAAAACTAGCTTTGGTTTCAATAAATTGTAAGTTTGTCTAAACCCGTTGCAGTGATTTGCAGCATGGGGCCTGATAATTAACTAAATAGGATTCCTCTCAATGAGACACTCTCTCTTGTTTTTATTGCCATGTTAAAATGTGAATCTTAAGCAAAACAAGAATATAAATCTTATTGGGGGATGTTGAAGTTTAAAACAATATACTCAGCTCAGTTCTCAACAGAGAGAAGCCTATTTTGAAGACCATAAACCTTTTTCTGCATGCCCAGGATAGGGGTTGCTGAGAGTAGGAGTGGGTTATGACCACAAAACTAGCTTTGGTTTCAATAAATTGTAAGTTTGTCTGGAACTCAGCAGGTCACTTGGAGGTAGAAAGCAGTCATTAAGGCCCCCCTATCTAAGAGCAACATTCTATAGATCAATGTTGTCCAAGAATAATAATTCTTTCTGGGAGTGCTCTTGGTGTTTGGTGTAGAATAGTCTTTTGGAGAGCTGTATTGTGTTTTGCAAGACATTTACATTCCTGGGAATAAACCCCTTCCTATTCCCCAAAATACTTCAATACATTACCCACTGAACCCCTGGAAATAGTTCTCTCCTCTTACCTGCCCTGAACAGGAGTCAGCAAACCAAGGGTATCTTCACTTCTCCCAGTTCCAGTGTTTTCCTCTGTACAAGCTGGAGAATGCCATCCACTTCTGACTTACCTCTAGGTCCTTTGATTGTTCAGGCAAGAGAACAGGAAAAAGGAGGCAGGGAAGAAAGAAGAAAGAGGAGGTTCAAGCTGACAAAGGATATTTTATTATAAAAAGTAAAATCTTAACTCATACAACTATAAAATAAACATGAATCATTACTAATGAGGATGCCATTAAGATGTTATAGCTAATTTAAATATATATTCAAAAAAGCATGGATATGTAGACCATGAAGGACCCAGCAGATAATCTAGTGGTTACATCTCTGGACTTCCATGTGGCCAAATATGGTTCAAATCCTGGACCTGGTGGCTTGAAAGTCACATGGGGCACATGTGTGTGCATGCCCAAGATTCCAGGAGGAGAATAGAGGAGAAGGAATTGCGGCATTGCCATCCCCCCAGTGGGTGATTTTGCACTTTCCTTCTCACTGTCTCTGTCTCTCTTTCTCTCTCACTGGTAAGCACACATGCTTGCCCAGGATAAGGCAAAAACCTGTAAAAAAAAAGAGTTATGAAATATATTTTGATAGATACAAAATTAGTATCTATAGAGCAATAATTACTTTCCTTCCAGTGGACACATTTTGCACTTCTATGAACAAGAATCACTTATATTAGAACCAGTATTCCTTATCTTGACAGAATTGTAAAATAGCTGATAGGAAATAAAACATAACCTGGAAGGGTGCTCTTGATAAGACACCCACTAACCAATTTTATCTGTTTCTAATGTCTTTCAGGAAGCCATGCTCAGACAAGAAGCCATTTTAAAGCTGAGGTGTGTCCTGGTGTGTTCAGGGAAGCCATACTCTAAAGCCACCCCCTAGACTCCCAAAATATTCAGACAAACACTGTGGAGGAGAGATTTTTACCACAGAATAATCAGAAACAACCACAGGGGTACAAGAAACATGAGAAACCAAGAAAATGTCTCTCCTGTAAGGGAAAAGAACAATAACTCATCATCTACAAACAGTACAGTAGGATTCTTGGAAATGTCTGATAAACACTTCAGAATATTCATATTGGCAAAACTAAATGAGATGAAAGAGCTGAGAGATAACGAACTCCAGAAGATGCAGGAGAAAAGAGAAAATGGGTTCCAGGAGGTGTTGAAGTTCTTTCATAATCTGAAAGAGGAGATACACATCATGAAAAAGAATCAAATGGAGCTATTAGAGATGAAGGCTGCCCTTCAGGAAATCAAAATGTCCCTCGAAAGTTTTAAAAGCAGATTAGTCCATGCAGAAAATCGAATCTTGTATGTTGAAGGTAAAACCTCTGATCTAGAAAAAACAACCAAAACCACTGAGAAAATAACCAAAAAAAAGAAAACAAGAATACTATACGAGAAATACTATACAGCATGAAGCACCCAAACATTCAGATAATTGGTATCCCAGAAGGTGAAGAAACTAATAAGGATACTGATAATCTATTCCATGAAATCTTGGAAGAAAACTTGCCAAATTTAAAGAGACATTCAATTATCCAGACCCAAGATATACAAAGGACCCTTAATAGAATCAACCCAAGAAGACCTTCTCCAAGGCACATCATAGCCAGACTGGTCAAATCTACAGACAAAGACAAGATACTAAAATTCGCAAGAGAGAAATGTCAGGTTACTTATAAAGTTTATCCTACTAGGCTAACCTCAGATCTCTCATCAGAAACAATGTGAGCAATGAAAGAATGGGAAAGTATTTTCAAAGTGTTAAGTGAAAAACAGTTTCAACCAAGAATACTATACCCAGCAAGATTATCTTTCATATGGAAAGAAAGAATAAAAACATTCTCAGATAAACAAGAACTGAAAAAATTTGCCAGTAGCAGATCCACTCTTCAAGAAGTTCTGAAACGAGTGCTCAACCAATAAAACTAAAGATACAAGCAGAAATAAGAGAACAAAAGGCAACCAAGAAAATGAACTAAGAAAAAAAGCCATTTTAAAGCTGAGGTGTGTCCTGGTGTGTTCAGGGAAGCCATACTCTAAAGCCACCCCCTAGACTCCCAAAATATTCAGACAAACACTGTGGAGGAGAGATTTTTACCACAGAATAATCAGAAACAACCACAGGGGTACAAGAAACATGAGAAACCAAGAAAATGTCTCTCCTGTAAGGGAAAAGAACAATAACTCATCATCTACAAACAGTACAGTAGGATTCTTGGAAATGTCTGATAAACACTTCAGAATATTCATATTGGAAAACTAAACAAGATGCAAGAGCTGAGAGCTAATGAACTCCAGAAGATGCAGGAGAAAAGAAACAACGAGTTCCAGGAAGTGTTGAAGTTCTTTCATGATCTGAAAGAGGAAATACACACCATGAAAAAGAATCAAATGGAGCTAGTAGAGATGAAGGCTGCCCTTCAGGAAATCAAAATGTCCCTCGAAAGTTTTAAAAGCAGATTAGTCCATGCAGAAAATCGAATCTTGTATGTTGAAGGTAAAACCTCTGATCTAGAAAAAACAACCAAAACCACTGAGAAAATAACCAAAAAAAAGAAAACAAGAATACTATACGAGAAATACTATACAGCATGAAGCACCCAAACATTCAGATAATTGGTATCCCAGAAGGTGAAGAAACTAATAAGGATACTGATAATCTATTCCATGAAATCTTGGAAGAAAACTTGCCAAATTTAAAGAGACATTCAATTATCCAGACCCAAGATATACAAAGGACCCTTAATAGAATCAACCCAAGAAGACCTTCTCCAAGGCACATCATAGCCAGACTGGTCAAATCTACAGACAAAGACAAGATACTAAAATTCGCAAGAGAGAAATGTCAGGTTACTTATAAAGTTTATCCTACTAGGCTAACCTCAGATCTCTCATCAGAAACAATGTGAGCAATGAAAGAATGGGAAAGTATTTTCAAAGTGTTAAGTGAAAAACAGTTTCAACCAAGAATACTATACCCAGCAAGATTATCTTTCATATGGAAAGAAAGAATAAAAACATTCTCAGATAAACAAGAACTGAAAAAATTTGCCAGTAGCAGATCCACTCTTCAAGAAGTTCTGAAACGAGTGCTCAACCAATAAAACTAAAGATACAAGCAGAAATAAGAGAACAAAAGGCAACCAAGAAAATGAACAATTTAATGCTAGGGACAAGAAATATCAATAACAACGTAGAATGTTAACTCCCAGGGTTTAAATGGAAAGACTGGACTACAACAACACTGCATATTCAACAGAAGAGAGTTTGAACATAAGACTGAACTGGCAAAATAGAATTTTATGACTTTTGAGTAAAACATTACTGATTCTTTTTTTACTATGCTTTGTTTTCCCAGTTTAAACAGTTTACTTTCTTTTTAGTTGTTGATAAGTTTAGCAATATGTTAAAATATTTTTCTCATTTGTTTCTTTAAATGGAAACAAACTTTTCTTTCTTCCTGACCCCTCTGGAAAG